CGGAGTGGCCACCTCGCCTGCGTCCGTGAACACCACGGACCTCTTCTGGCGCCGCGCCGTCGCGCGCCCCGCCCGAGTCTCGTCGGCCACGATCTGGAGGAAGCAGCCCGCGTAGAAGTCGGCGACAGGGCACGACGTGATGCACTCCGCTGCGAGCGGGTTCGGCCTGTCCGCGAAGTGCGCCAAGTTCACCTCCTCGAAGATCGTCCGCGCCACGCCCTTGGCCTCCCAGTCCCCGATGCAGCGGTGCACAGTGTTGAGCGTCTGCTGCATCTCGGACTTCCCATGGAGTCGCTCGGCCAGCGTGGACAGGCAGGTCTTCGCCAGTTCCCGCGCCTTCTTCCCGACGCGCTGCACCTTGGAAATGTACCCGCCGATGTACCGCGAGGAGTTCGACATGGACCGCTGCACCGCGAATGCGATGCGTCGAAGGTGCCCTTCTTCTGTGTCTTCTCTGGAGCCGTGTCGACACAGGCAGTTCGGGTCGTGAGTAATGCCTGTGATCAGCGGGAGCCGGTTGTTCGGCGCCGTGTGCGTGTTGCTCCGAAATGCCACCGCCAATGCTGGACAAGTCCCGCTCAGGAAGTCGTCGTTCCGAGGCCCCGCGATCTCGCCCAACGCACTCCTCGGCCCGTTCACTTTAAGCCCGACTTCCCTGGCCACCTGAGGGCACACAACGCGGAATCTCGGTCCATCTGGGGCCGCCATGAGCATGGTCTTCGGGAAGCCGTGCTTGCACTTGTCGCCGTGTTTGCAGCCTTTCTTGATGCAGTGTGTGAGCGGCTTCCCGTTGGGATGGTGGTGATGCTGGACCTTCGAGAAAATCATCTGCGCATCTGCCTCGTAAGCCTGCTTGAAGGTGGCCGCGTCGGCGTCGCAGGCAACGGCATCGCACCCCTCGTCCCACTTCGTCTTCGGCTCGGCATGGTCCACATACGCGGGCCACCGACACAGACCTACGTGCTCCGATGCGCGGTGATTCTGCCGCCACTCAGACTCCAGCGACGGTAGGCTCTCCCGGTGCTCCTCGGGGGCCCAGTGCTCTTCCCTGTGGACCCACGCGTGCCACTCCTTCACCGCGTGCGCCAAGCCAGGGGACTCCCGAATTGTCCTCGCGATCTCAGTCAAGGGTGCGTGCTGGAACATGTTCGCGAGGTACACGAACCCGTGGAAGTGGAGCGTGCCTAGGTGCTGGTTCTCGACGGCGCCAAGCAAAGCTGCAGCAACCCCGAAAATCCCGCCCATGGGGCGCGAATTGGAGCCGAACTTGTCCGTGCAACAGCACCGGGGCTGCCTACGATATCTTCGCGCGACGCCGCACTCGGCGCACAACCGCAGACCCAGGAGGCGGCCCAAGATCACGTTCACGGCGACGCGGAAGCCCTGAACGACCGAGAGAGGATCATTGGCCACTTCGCACAGACGCAAATCGAAATCGGGGAGCTCCGCGTCGGCGCTCTCCGACAATGACGGCCACTCCCGTGACGCCAATCGTTTCCTCATGGCATTCCGTGCGTCGTCTGTGCACCCCGCGCGCAGCAGCGGGTCGCCCTGGCGTGCTCTGTGTAGACGCATCACCAAGCAGGACTGCTTCTCATTTGGCGAGATGGTGATGAAAAGCCCGTGCCCGTATCCAATCGCGCCAGACTGGAATACGTGGCCCATCCTGCGACGCAGCTCCTGGGTGCCTGCAAGGCTGCTCGTCACAGAGCGCATGTTGTGCACGATCTGTTTCTGGGTTGTGTCCAGGCCATGCGCCATGTGCAGCACCGTCAAGTTGCCAGCAATTGGCCGCCTGTTCGGCCCGTAGTACCCCTTCGCCAACAGGTCGTGCAACCCGCGGACAGCCGTGGTCAGGCGCTCCGTGAAAGCGGATCCGTCTTCGTCCTTGTACTTCCTGACTCTGCTCCCCAACCTCGCGGTGATGCCCAAAAAGCGGAAGTGGACATTGCGCATGCCTGGGATGAAGAGCCAGTCCGATCGGATCTGGTGTTCCACTCGGCGACTCATGCCTGCAAGCCACATCCCCATGCTGATGGACGGCCGGTTTTGCACTTCCTCGGGCCGCCCCACCGCGCGGCGCCGATGTGCGGCATCGGCACCGTTGCGCCAAGACCTCGTGAAGTCTGGCCCCCCGCTCTGCCACAGCAGCGTGTGCGGGAAAGCGATCGCGGGGTACATCCCGTTCCACTGCTCCAACATGGCCGCGTCGGCGACGTACGGGACGACCGGCCCGCCGTCCATGGCTCGCTGTTGGCGCTGACCCGCGGTCCCTTGCCGGGACGTCGCATCTGTGGGCGCGCAGGCGGTCGGTCTGGCATCGTCGAAAACAGAGGCGACGTCAGTGCTGGCCAGCGCCGGAGTCGCGTGCTTGTTATCCTGCACACTGCTCCTGGACGGATCCGCCACCACCGTCGCCCGGTCCACGGCTGGCGGGACCTTCCCGTCGGTGTCCTGGGGGGTGCCGAGCCACGGGTAGCACTGCTTCACGCGCCTTTCAAACGCCTCCTTGGCAGCGGCGATTGCGATGGGATTGCCAGCATCTCTACAAAAAGCGGGGTGGCCGCGGTCGATGAGCTCCCAGCCGAGCTGCAGCACCACATGAGCGCGGAGGCGCATGTGCTTCAGGTGCTTCGACATGTCCTTGTCTTTCATCCGGAACTCGAAGCGAACCAAGTGGGCCAGCGTCTCGCCGTCGTGGGGCAGCGCCGCAGCAGCACTGGAACTCTCCGTGATGGCGAGCAGGCGCTCCAGGACGTCGTCCCAATGCACCAGGAAGCTGGCCAGATTACCGCGGACAGCGTACCGACTGTGCGGATGCATGGCCTCTGGGGTTCGCCGTGCGAGCAGCGCGCCACTGCCCCCCGTGCGCCACTCGGCCACACTGCAGTTTCCAGGGGGGGCGGGGTCCGCAAAGAACAGAGAAGGGGCAGTGCCGCGCTACTTCGCGCAGCTCGCCTGATTGTTCATGAGGTGGCCCTTATCGCCCTCGACGTAGAACGCCATCAAACTCGTCCACACTGGCGTGGCCGCGGCCATCTCGATCCACCGGGGCTTGTGCTTCTCCCACCATGCCGACACGAACCCGACAAAGTTGTCGTTGGCGATGGCGGGACGCGGGATTCGCTCCCGCACCGTTCGCGTCTTCGCGAAAATGCCGCGGCACTGCCAGCACAGAGGTATGCGGCACGACTCGCACAGCTCATCAACAACTCCATGCTGACGGTCGCACACCACGTCTTCCGGGCAGCACAGGAAGCGCATGGAGTTCTGGCTTCCGTTCGGACCATTCCACCGCACCGTTCGCACCCACGGCGAAGACGCGGTTGTCTGCGTCGGATAGTGGTGCGACCGCGTCCCGCGGTGGTCCGGAGCAGGGTGCGGGAAGTGCGCCAGGAACGCGTCCAAGCCGAAGGCGTACTCCAGGAGCTCACGCGGACAACTGCGCAAGAGCCCGCGCAGTGGCGTCCATCCAATCTCACTGACTCCAGCGGACTCGGGGTCCTCGACACTCGTGTAGATCTGACCGCAGCAGAAGCACACCAGCGACGACAAACAAGCATCGTTCGCCACTTGCCTCATGGTGCGAATTGCCCGCCGGTCTCTGCAAATGCCGAGAGCTGGCATGCCAGTGCGCGCCCGGACCTCCACCGCCTGGCAGTAGATGGACCAGATCCACGCTTCCTGCTCCTCCAGCACCTCGGCATGGACGCCGACATCGTCGGCGCTGTCAGCGAGTCTCTTGTTCCACCCCTGCCTCCACGCTGCTGGGAGGCAGGCCTGGTGGCAGCTGATTACGTGGCGCCGCAAATCCCCTTCCGTCTCCCCGGTCCAGCGGCACTGCCGAACGGCGCAGTTGCAGATCGGCCACTGCAATCCGTCCATTACCTCCTGGATGTTGTCTGCGGCGTCCGACGGGTCGAACGGCGGAGGAAGCGTCGGGTCCTGCCGGAGAAATGCAGAGAAAGCCCGAGCTGCTTCGTGGGCGACGTCCAGCGTCGTGTGCGCCACGTCGGCGCCGCAGGCCAAGTGGTCAACGTCGGACTGCTCTGACCCGGCAGGGGCCTCCGACAGCTCGGACTTGGAGTCCGACGCCGGCTCTGAGGGCGATGACTCCCGGTCGGCGTCGGAGTCAGACTCGGGGGCCTCCGCGGCTGCAGCGGCATGCTCTTCGCGTTCCCCCTGCGGTCGGAGACGCCCTGACGCGGCGCGCGGCAGCCGCGCCCCGTCGGCGGCCTGCGGGCGCGCGTTGCTGCCGGAACTCGCGCCCGCCGCACTCCCTCTCAGTGAACTGCAAGCGCCCGGACGCCTCGGCTCAGGATGCGGCGGCGGCGGAGAAGGCGCCCGAGCGGGCGCGCCAGCGGAAGAGTCTGCCGCGCCGACTTCATGGCGCGAGCGTGGAGGCCGGGGTTCAGGATGCGGCGGCGGCGGTGGAGGTGGCAGCGGTGGCGCGGTCTCCACTCCCAGAGGGTCGTCGAGAATACGTAGAACCTGATGACAGAAAGCCGCCACGTCCTCCTCGCCGAATAGCGCATCCACGTCAGCGAAACACGACGGGTCGCTGAACTTCCCCCGGCACGCGGTCGACGGCTCCCACGGTCGCGGAGCGTTAGCTCCTGACGTCGCCACGTCCACCGCATCGTAGTGTGAATACCCGTCGACGTCATAGTGGACAAAAGCAAAATCGAGCACTGGGATTTGCGCACGTCCCTGCAGCAACCCCTGGTCCGGGAAGATGGCCGCCTGGCTCCACGCGTTGAATGGCACGTACAGAGCGAGAGCGCCACAAGCCTCCAGGAAGTGCGTGATCACAACAGCGTCTGCATATCGGCGCGTTGCCGACACGTCCTCCGAATGGAGGCCCATGCATATGTCCACGTAGAACACCTGCAGTGGGCGGGGGCAAGAGATAACGCGGGGGTCACTGCGACTCCGCCATTGAAAGCCAGACCAGTCCCCCAAAAAATTCCTTCGCCCGAGTGAACGCATAAGCGCGGCCCCAGACGCCCTCTCGGCAACGCCCCGACGGCCCCGCCCTCAGAGTTCGAAAGCATCGCGTGCCTCCTGTGCAAGCACTATTTGGGAAATGTGCTCCTGGATCTCCGGGCTCCGCGAAGGGCACCCCTTCCTCCCCGTGCCCGCGGCGCCACCTTCCAGTTGGGGAGACTGCCCCACGCGACGCCACTGGCCACCTGCGCTGGCAACTCCTGCTGCAGGCGGGCCCTCCTCTCCACGGCGTACTCGTCCAGCTGCAGCGCCTCGAACAATTGCTGGTTCCGCTGCTTCATCATCTTCACCAGCGTCCATCTGTACAGCTTCCAAGCCGCGCGGCCTGGAAGTCCCAGCTCGGCAGCCGCAGCGCGGAAAAAGCACAGCCCGTCTCCACGAACAGGGCGCACGGACAGCCGCATCCCTGGCCGCGTCGCCGAGAGCAGATCAGCCACGCGACCCAGCGACTCGTTGGCGCAACTAATGCGGGACCGCCTGATGGCCTCCCCGTCATCGTCGAGCCCAACCTCGCTCACGCGCGCCTGGTCGACTGCGAACTCCTCGTCGCTCGACTCCGCCATGGCGCGCCAGAAGCGTCGCCGCCCCGCGGGCCAACTGGGCAGCCCTGACTGCGGCAAGACTGGACCCCGGAGCCGCTATCGAGCCCACATGGTTTACAGATGCCGCGCGCGCTGAGATGGGCCATTGTGGGACGCACGGCTAATGGACGAATTCCGATGCGACCTCAGGTTGCGCGGCGCTCGGCGCATGCTCCGGGGTTGTTTTCAAAATGGTCTTGCATTGAAGCGTGATTTTCGGAAGGGCGCTCGCAGACGCCACGCAGCCCCCTGGGGCTCCACGATCCCGGAAGTCTAAAAGGACCTGGGGTTCACAGAGACAGAATGGATCACAACCTCCGATGCCCCAGCGAACGCGCTGCCCGCCCACAGGGGTCGGATCAAAAGGCCTCGAAGGTGCAGCCAGGAAGCAGAATCACAGAGCCCGAGATCGGCTTGGCCATCGCTCCCCGGAGTATCTCCCGCGGTCACTGCGGGTTCGCATTGAAGTTAAAACGCGACCTCAGGTTGCGGGACAGACAACGCAGAAGTTCCCCAGCAGTGATGAAGACGATGGTGGTGCTCTTGATGGTGACCGTTATCGTGTGGCCTCGTGCGCCGGCGAGTGATGATGACGATGGTGGTGCCGGTGATGGTGATGCCGATGGTGGTGTTTGTCGTCCTGGTGGTGCTGATGATGGCTGGTAGGATGATGATGGCGAGGCTGATGATGAAGGAGGTTGCTTTCAAAAATCGGACAGACCACTGGGATAGCTTCAGAAAGATGAGGGAGGGAGGTTTTTGCAACAGCGCTGGACGTACAAGCCTAGACCGAGCGTTTGGGGTTATGGCTGCTTTCGCTTTTTATTGTGCTCGAAAAAGGTCAAAGCTAATGTACATGCAGCACCGTGCGAGCAGCTGCGGATCGAAAGTCCCGATCATGGGAGCGCGCTGTATGGCCGACGGGGAGAGCTGGAAAATGTTACTACCTGAGCGCTGGACTACCTGAGCGCTGGAACGAGTCATGCGGGTTCACCCCTCAGTGTCAAGAGATGTGAAAGCACGACGAGGCGTTGGTCAAGAGGCCTGGTCAAAACTGCCGCTGAGAAGGCAAAGCTGGTTCTAGCCGAGTCTGTGGCTCGGCAGTCGTGGCGCTGAGAGGGCAAGGCTGGTTGTAGCCGAATATACTCGGGGGTTGCCAGGGGTGCCCCCGGCCCAATGCGCTTCTGGCTTCTCGTGCCATTTTAGAGCCCCCAGGGCCCTCTGACCCCCGCGAGGAGCGCTCTGGAGGCCGCGGGGGCCCCCGCGGAACTTCTGGGGCACCTTGGGCCAAGGACACCTTGAGCATCATCCGATATAGCGCCGGCCAGCCTGCGCTCGGAGCGGCGCTACTTCCCGGCGCCGCCCTGGCGCGGCACGGCCGCGGCAACCGCGGCGAGGGCATCGAGGTTGAGGGCGCTCACTGTCTCCGCGTTCTCCATGGGCTCCAGGGCGCGCAGGAGGTCGCCCGTGGGGGGGCTGTCGCGCACGAGCACAAGCAGAACCTCCAGGCCGTCGAGCAAGGGCTCCAGCCCGTCGAGCTTCGCCATGTCGTCCGCCAGCATGGCCGCCTGCGCATCTGCCTGCAATGATTCGAGGAAGCGATCAAGCTTCGCCACGATCTTCGCAACGGCCGCCTCCGGCGACATGTCCCTCGCCGCCGCCGCGGCTGCCATGTCCCCCTCGATGATCGTCAGGCGCTGCGCCCACTCGAGCCTTCGAACGGGGGTTGCATTTCCCGAAGCAACGCGCCCTCTGCGCCGCCGCATCGGGAGCGGTGCGCGGGGATCGGGAAGACCGCGACATGAACGCGATAATCATAGCCGCGCTTGCCTTCCCGACGCGGAAACGCCCGGGCGCCCCCCCGAAAATGCAACCCTCGCGCGGCAACCTGTCGGCCGGGAAAGCCGCCGCCGGCCAGCGAGACACGGTGCCCGCGAGCGCCTCCGCGCCGACCCCCGGCATCTCCACGAAACGCTTGACCGCGGCAGCGATGTCCAGCTGAATGCCCTTGAACGCACGGTATTTCGCCCTCTCCGCAGACTGCGCTGCGCTCCGCGCTTCCCCCGCTGCGAACGCCGTCGCCGCCTCGAGGTACGCGCCCACCGTCACCTCCGCCGCGGCGGCGGTCGGCGCCGGGACGGCGTGGGCCAGCGGCGCGGCCGCGGGCGCCGGCGCCTGCGCATCCCCGGCGACGCCCGCAGGCGGAGCCACCGCCGGGACCGCCAAGGCTCCGCCGCTGGCCATTGAAGCGGCACCGACCGCCGGGGCGCCCGCGGGCGCACGCGCCGGCGGCACGGCATCCGCGCCCGCGCCAACCGCCGCCAACGTCATCGCCATCGACGCGGCAACGCCGCCCGCCGTCGCCACCTGGGACGCGCTGGCGGCGCGCGTCACTTCCGCCGCCGCGGCCGCTGACGGCGGCGCCGCGCCAGCGCCAACCGCCTCCACCCCCGCCGTCGGCGATTCAGCGACGCCGCCCGCCATCGACATCTGGAAAACGCCGGCGGCGGTTGTCTCTTTCGCCATCTCTGCCTGCGCCCCGCGCTGCCCCGCATCCACGGACAGCGTGACCGCGGCGAAGTGCTCCGCGATGAGTTTGTCCTCGCGCGCCTTCACCTTCGCGGCCACTCCGGTCAAGTCCGTCGCCGGGGCGCAGGCCGTGAAGACGGACCGGAACCGCTCCACCGCGCAAGCGCATAGAGCTCCAGACGGGACGAGGAACGGGTACTCCTGCACCAGATCGAGGAGCCCATCGACGTACTTGTCGGCGACCAGTCCCACTGGGCGAATCTGCACGGAATGCCACGACGTCCACCTGGAATGGTTCGTGGAATTCGTGTTCTCCCGGAACAGCAGCTTCGACGCTCCGCCCTGGTGCGAGAACCCTCCTGGGCGGCCAACGGCATTTACGCCCATGGCCTCGCCGATCAGTTGGCGCAGCACGGCGCGGAACTCCTCGAAGGTCTGCGTGTACATCCCGAAGCACCACGCACCTGGGGCATTCGCAATGCCGCCCTCTGCCGTTTCCTGGACGACAGCAGTCGGGTTGTCCTGGTGCGACGGGCTCATGTACTCGGCCACGACGTTCTGCGGCAACCCAGCATTGAATGCTGTGGCCCACTCGGGGACGTTGGCCGCATTCTTGGAAATCAAGCCGGACATCCAACGAACTGCGTTCTTGGACTCCTTCCTGCAGACAAGCTCGTCCGCATCCGCGAGCACTCCGACGATGCCGCCATCAAATGCCAGGCCCTTTGCCTGCACACTGACGTCGAAGAATACCTCCAGCACCATGGCCTGGACCTTCGAGTTCGCGTCCATCTTGCGGGCCTTCAGCGGGGAGCCACCGGCCGACTGGAGGAACGAGGTCACGCTGAGGAAGTCAACGCGAGTTCGCTTGCCTGAGAGAACGCCTTGGTCCGAAGTGGCTGCGGGACTTCCACCTTGCCTTCTCTTTCAGATGGACAGCCTTCATCTGCAGGGCTCTTGGCGTCCACGACGGCCCCATATGCCTCCACAGTGACAGTAGGACGCCCAGAAGAGGCTCCCAATAATGCCTCCGCAGACCCAAAAGTGACCCGGCAGGCCTGCAAAATGGCGCAGCTCGCCCACGCGCATGAAAAGATATCCCCAGAATGCCTCCGAATAAATTCAAATGATATAGCAGCGGTGCTGCGAAGACAGGAACGAATCCCACAGACGGGCCAAAGTAGCCCCAAGAGGCCCCAAGAAGGCCCCAAAGATCCTCCCACGAACCCGCGAAAATGGCGAGCGGCCCCAAAGAGCCCCCGATGGGAAAGACGAACTGGCATTTTGAACCTTTCCCCCCAAGATGGCCCCCAAGAAAAAGAAAAGCCTCCCGCGGGCTCCCTGAAAAGACCCCAAAAGGCTCCAAGATGGCCTCGCGATGAGGCCCCCCAAAGCGCCCCAAGACAGCCCAAGGTGACCCCAATAAGGTCGGCTGAAGAGGCTCCCAAAATGGCCTCAAGATCAGAGGCCCCCAAGAGTGCCCCAAGACAGCCCAAGGTGCCCCCAGCAAGGTCGGGGACGGCCAGCACGACAACGAGCATGGACCAGGATGGACATCAAGACGGCCGACACGGCCTTCAACGTGAAGGCTGAGTGACTCTGAATGTGAGTGAGTCTGAATGTGAATGTGTCTTCGCGTGTGAGTCTGAATATGACTGAGCACACTGTTACTGTATCTGGGTGTGAGCGGTATGCGGAAGACTCAGTCAGGGAATCAGAGAATCTGAGTTGGAGTCTGAATGGGCTGTAGGGCTATAGGGCTATAGGGCTCTAGAGCTATGCGGCTATAGGGCTATAGAGCTATGCGGCTATAGAGCTATAGGGCTATACGGCTATAGGGCTCTAGGGCTCAAGGGCAAAAGGGATATAAGGCTATAGGGCTATAGGGCTATAGGCCTATAGAACTATAGGGCTACAGGGATATAGGGCTATGGAGCTATACGGGTATGGGGATATAGATGTGAAGGAATATCGGACTACATTGCTATATGGGCTATTGGGCTATTGGGCTACAGGACTATAGGGCTAAAGGGTTATAGGGCTATAGGGCTATAGGGCTATACGGCTATAGGGCTATAAGTCTATAGCGCTATAGTGCTCTAGGGCTCTAGGGCTATAGGGCTATAAGGCTGTAGGGCTATAGGGCCATGTAGGCTATAGGGCTTTAGAGCTATGGGGCTATAGGGCTATAGAGCTATAAAGCTATAGGGCTCTAGGGCTCTAGGAATATAGGGCTATAGGGCTACAGGGCTATAGGGCTATAGGGCCTCCGAATGCCCCCAGAAAGCTCCAAAGATGCTCCAGGAGTGCAAAGTCGATCAGGGCCCCCGCTGGTGGCCCCGCAGGGTGACACCCATTCGGGAGCAGAGCCTCCCTCCTCCGGCTCTCCCCTTCCAATACGAAAGCGTCTGAGACTTCCGCGCTCTTGAGGTTCGTGAGAAACCGTCTTCAAG